GTGAGTGGTGAGTGTGAGTGGTGAGTAGTGAGTGGTGAGTGTGAGTGGTGAGTAGTGAGTGGTGAGTGTGAGTGGTGAGTGTGAGTGGTGAGTAGTGAGTGGTGAGTAGTGAGTATTCGCACGCATCGGAGTTGAACCGGAAGCACGCGTATGAAACCCGCGCGTGCGTGCGAAGGGGCAACGCTCTATCCCACGCACAAGGGACCGGTGGGGATCAGTCCGCACGTTGTTGCTGTACCGCCTCTCTCCTTGATGGTGGTGGTGGTGGTGGGGTGAGTGGCGAGAGTTACCGCTCACCCTCGAAAACGCACGGGGAGGGATTTGGGAGTTTCGCACCATCTGCGCGAGATCCATCAACCCTAGATGCTGCTGCTGCTGCGTCCACGGGATGCCGTAATTCCCCAAATCTTACCAAATCTCATCGGCATAAAAAAAGACGGCGCCCTTAGTTTGTTGGCAGTGAAGCCACAGGCCGTGGCTTTTCTCGAGCATCGAGCACAAAAAAAAAACACAAATCCGCATGCGGAGTGAGTCTCGTAGACGTGTGAATATTAATCTACGCTGATGTCCTGATCGAGTACACACCTTGAGGCGATGGTATATGCACAGCGCAGGGGAGGATTAGGGGCCGTCCATAAATGACGTCACGCACCTGGGGGGGGGGTGGGGGCGGTCAGACATTTGTGACAATGTGTGACGAAGAAGGGAGGGGTGGGTTGAGAAATGTGACGTCACATCAAAATGCGCAACTTTAAATGAATATAGAATTGTATAACAATTATATATTTATTGTTATAACGACACTAATTGTGTCGTTATAACAATTCTATATTTATAACAACACTAATTGTGTTATAACAACACTCCTACAACATCAGAGTGCAGCGCCACGTTAAACACGCACTACAATGACAATAGTTTAAAGCGATTTGAAGCATGTTTTATTTTCAAAATGGAAATATATTTTTTTGGGGGGGGGGGTGGTGGGGGGCAAAGCTTTGTGACGTCATATTTGAGGGGGGGGGGGTTCTGACTTTTTGTGATGCCGCGTGACGAGGGGGGGGGATGTCAAAAATCGTCCAAAATCGCGTGACGTCATTTATGGACGGCTCCTTATGAGGTTTCCGGCTGCTTGGTAGTCTGCGTGAGAGTCAGCCGCGAGGGCTGAGCGATGTTGGACTCTCACTGACGTTCATCGTGGCGAACGAAACGGGTCAAAGTCGGAGCGTCACTTCCTGCGACAACAACAACAACAACAAATAAAACACGAGGCCATCGATGCTCGGACGCTTGCGGTCTCGCGGCTGCGCGAGCCTCTTGTTTGAAGCTCCACGTTCCCATGGCGGGGACGAGTCGATCCGCAGGACAAGCGCCCGTCGACTGCCCCAACATAAGCGGTCTGATTGTATCGACCCAGGATTGATGATGGGCCGTGTCAACCCCCCCCCCCCCCGTCCCTCCCGCCGCCCCCGACTCTGACCAGGATTCTAAGTCGTCACTTTGCGACCGCCAGCAGATCCACTCCACGGCTGTGAGCCTACGCGGTCGAAATTAACAAGAAAAAGAGGAGGAGGAGGAATTAGAAGAGGAAAAAGAAGAGGAAGAGGAGGAAGAAGAGGAGGAAGAGGGAGATAAAGAAAACGAAGAAGAAGAAGAAGGAAACGAAAGAAAGAGGAAGAAGAAGCTGAAGAAGAAGAGGAAGAAGAAGAGGAAGAGGAAGAAGGAAACGAAAGAAAGAGGAAGAAGAAGCTGAAGAAGAAGAGGAAGATGAAGAAGAAGAGGAAGATGAAGAAGAAGAGGAAGAAGAAGAAGAGGAAGAAGAAGAGGAGGAAGAAGAAGAAGAAGAAGAGGAGGAAGAAGAAGAACAGGAAGACTAAAGAAGAAGTAAAATAACAGAAGTGAGATATTTTCCCGTTCAGCCAAAAACCGCGAAGTGCCTCCAACTCCTACCCCGGAGCCACTCCACCGGCGGCAGGGAGAGACAGAGACACGGGGCACGGCAACGCCGGTCCGCTCGTTCCGTCATCAGCGCGCCATCGATTAACGTCTCGGTCGCAATCGCGGACCCATCAGCCGACGGCATCGTGGAAGAGGCGTCCACGGCTGCCCTCCCATCCGCCGCGTGCTAAGCGCTGCCCTGAGGCTCGGCGTGAACGCCGGCGGGGATCGCCGGCTCCTTGTTGGGGTTGCCGCGTCTGGCACGGCGCGAGCAGGGGATGCGGTTCCCGGTGTGTCCGTGCAGTCGACGGCTGTGGTTGGCGGGTGGGAGGGGGGGGGGGTGGGTGCGTTCCTGTGAGCCTCACTCGTATCAATGACTCCAGGCGGGTTGAGAACTCGGTCTACCGTACACTGACCACCGCACTGCAGGTCACAATGACTCACTCGCCAATTCACTTACCCACCCACTCACTCACCCACGCACTCACCCACTTACTCAATTACCCACTCACTTAACCACCACACTGCAGGTCACAATGACTCACTCACTCACCCACTCAGTCACCCACTCACCCACTCACCCACCCACTCACCCACCCACTCACCCACTCACTCACCCACTCACTCACCAACCCATTCACTTACCCACTCACTCAGTCACCCACTCACTCACTCACCAACCCATTAACTTACCCACCCACTCACTCACCCACCCACTCACCACTTACTCAATTACCCACTCACTCAACCACCACACTGCAGGTCACAATGACTCACTCACTCACCCACTCACCCACCCACTCACTCACCCACTCACCCACCCACTCACCGACTCACTCACCCACTCACTCACCCACCCACTCACCCACCCACCCACTCACTCACCCACCCACTCACTCACCCACCCACTCACCCACTTACTCAATTACCCACTCACTCAACCACCACACTGCAGGTCACAATGACTCACTCACTCACCCACTCAGTCACCCACTCACCCACTCACTCACCCACTCACCCACCCACTCACCCACTCACTCACCCACTCACTCACCAACCCATTCACTTACCCACTCACTCAGTCACCCACTCACTCACTCACCAACCCATTAACTTACCCACCCACTCACTCACCCACCCACTCACCACTTACTCAATTACCCACTCACTCAACCACCACACTGCAGGTCACAATGACTCACTCACTCACCCACTCACCCACCCACTCACTCACCCACTCACCCACCCACTCACCGACTCACTCACCCACTCACTCACCCACCCACTCACCCACCCACTCACTCACTCACCCACTCACTCACTCACCAAGCCATTCACTTACCCACTCACTCACTCACCCAATCTCTCACCAACCCATTAACTCACCCACTCACTCACCCACTCACTCACCCATCCATTCACTCACACCCACTCAGTGATCCACCACACTGCAAGTCACAGCACTACTCTCCTAGCTCGCTCCTTGCACCGCTCCGCTTTAGAGCCCCCTACGGTTGTCTAATTTCCACAATCCCTTACAAATAACCTTGCACAATAAACAACCAACAACCCCCCCCCCCCCCCCCCCCCATATTAACTCTGAAGCCTCTTACATCTTCACTAGCGCCGCTCGACAACCGCGATTTAACACGTGTGTATGTACATTGAACTTCCTTCGCACCGTACGTAGTCAACCATGCTAATCGGAGGTACGGGTGGGAGGGGTATGGGTGTCTGTACGAGTCTATGGGTCTCTGTGTGAGTATATGGGTTTCTGTACGAGTCTATGGGTCTGTGTGAGTGCATGGGTCTCTGTACAAATCTATGGGTCTCTGTACGAGTCTATGGGTCTATGTGTGAGTGTATGGGTCTCTATATGAATATATGGGTCTCTGTGTGAGTGTATGGGTCTCTGTACGAGTCTATAGGTCTCTGTGTGAGTGTATGGGTCTCTGTACGAATCTATGGGTCTATGTGTGAGTGCATGGGTCTCTGTGTGAGTGTATGGGTGTCTGTATGAGTCTATGGGTCTCTGTGTGAGTCTATGGGTTTCTGTGTGAGTATATAGGTATATGGGTCTCTGTCTGTGTCTATTTATGTATAGAGAACTTATTTCGCACCGTACCTAGCCAACCGCGCTAATCGGATGTACGGGCGGGGCGGGGGGGTCAACAAATTAAACACAACAACAAGCACATCTAAACAAATTAGTTTTCAATCTCGATGGTTTCAAAGTACATACCTCCGATGGCTTCAGAATAGCGGAAGGAAGAGCGTTCCAGACTGACGCATCAACATCACCACCACCATCGCCATCAAACGTCCCCCACTTCCTGATCGTGCGGGTATCTCCTCACCAACATCACCACCACCATCAAAACCATCACCACCGTCACCCCCATCTTTTGCGCCGTACGTAGCCGGCCGTGATAATCGGAGGTGCGGAGGGAAGGGAATGAAACTGGACGCAAAAATTCAGTTCTAAAGAGATGCGTTTTAAGGCGAGGTGATGTAAAAGTGCACGGCTCCAGTGGTTTCCTAATATCGGAAAGGAAGAGCGTTCCAGACGGCCGCAGAAGCATCCGCATCTGAAAGGGCGACTGTGTGTATGCGTGTGAGTGTGTGTACGTGCCGGCCTCCATCGGTCCTACTCGCCACACAGCACTTGCCCGTGCAGGCTATACGGGGGCACGTTTTGTCTTCGTGCGTGTGTGTGTGTGTGTGTATATATGCGTGCGTTTTGAACTTCTTTCGCACCATACATAGCCGACCGCACTAACCAGAGGCCAAAGAACGAACCACAAAAAGCAATTCTGAAAGAAATGCGCTTTAAATCCCGGCATCCGAAACGCGCCGTAAGCCCCGGCGGCCTCCCGATCTCGCGGACGCAAGAGCGTTCCAGACGGCCGCAGGAACCGCACGCGAGAGCGGCCCGCGCCACGCCAACGACGTTGCGGTGACCTCTCCGCCTCGCGATCGCACGCGAGAACTGACCCCCCCCCTCCCCCCCCCCCCGGCGGTGAAGGCGCACGGCGCTCACTCTCGCCCTCCCTCTCCTGCAGGGCTCTCTCGGGCATCCTGCGACACCAGCCCAGGCGGTGCAGGGACGAGGAGTTCAGGGGTCACCCCATGCACGCGACGCCGCAGTCACGGGAAGACTCCACGGCGCGGTCCATCAAGAACCACTCCGGTGAGGCCCGCGCCCCCCTGCCCGGGTGCGGCCGCAACGACGGTGTCGTGACACGGCCGGGCGAACCTTCTGAGCGTTCTCTCTGCTGCTGCTGTCGCTGAGATGTTAACTCCATCGCCTGGTGCGCAGGAGGTCGTGTGGTCGATGCCGACCCTGACGCCTGCTGTGTATTCGGAGTTTGCGCGTCTCTCCCTCTCTCTTTCTCTCCCCCCGCGGCCGTGTGCAACTTTCTCCGGCTCCTTCCGGGTTTTTTTTCTTTCCGTTTTGAATCGACGTCACACTTTCAGAGTATTTGGCTGCTATAATGTGCGTATGTACGTTGACCTTCTTTAGCACCGTACGTAGCGGACAGCGCTAATCGGAGGTGCGGTGGAAGGACAACAAACTAAACACAAAATGCAGTTACGAAGAAATGAGTTTGTCAATCGAGATTATTGAAAACTGCGTAGCTCCTGACGGCTTCCTAATATTGGAAGCAAGAGCGTTCCGGACGGCCGCAGAAGCGCATCTGAAAGCGCCGCGCGATGCGGCGACCGCCGTCTTTGTTTCGACGGCTGAGCCAAAAGCCGCTGTGTCGATGACTTCCGGAGTTTGTCGTCGTGATGATGACGAGATCAGCCAAGGTTTTTTTGTGTTTCATTTGCGGGAAGCACTTTGTGTTTAATAAGCGCGACCTTGGAATGTATTTGCTCGGCAAACCCGAAGCCAGCGCAGCTCGGCGAGCAACCGGACGGACACGGTCGGATCTTGCGGGGAAGGACAACAACGACACGTGCCAAAGAACGTTGTTCACGCTGCAGCTCGCTCGCTATTCTTTTTGTTGCCAGACGTCCCGTAGAGTAGCGAGTTGCAATAATCGAGCCTCGTCGATACGCTTCGCTACGCCGCCACCGCCGCGTTGGCTACGCCAGACGAGCGGTCATCGTATCGCGACCGCCACGTGACGCCCTCGCGACGACGTCACAGCACGACGTCACAGCACGACGTCACAGCACGACGTCACAGCACGTGCTACGTTCACGACTTGAAGAACCCCCCGACTTTGTGTTGTTTGCTTCGTGGCCTCTGGGCGGTGCGACGCCCCGCTTGCTGTGCACTCTCCTATCCGCGTTGATACCGAAGCTGGGCATTAGCTAGCCAAGTGTTCCTCACTCATTTCCAAGACACCATCGGTGCGCGTGAGAGCCGGAAAACAATTTGAGACCGTCGGGGGTTTGACAGCAGCGCGACCATGATGATGATTATGATGATGGGGGTTGTTTTCACATTTGTGTATTGTCGGAGGGGATGCTGGGGGGGCACTAAAGGTCACCAGGTGGGTGGTGGGGGGGGGCATTCCACCGCCCCCGATCTGCGTTACCTCGGGAGCCGTTCGCAACGGAGCCGTCGTGCGAACGTCATTGTCGCACCGACAGCCACGGGGGGAAGTTGCCCCCCGCGTCCAGCCAACGGAGGCCGGGGGGGGGGGGGATGGTGGCTGCACCTGGCGACGCGGTCGGCATCCGCTTTACCGGAGCGCTGCTCCGGTTAAAACATGTCTCGCTCGCTCGAGACCATCGGGGACACAAAACACCGCTTTTTCCACCGCACAGCCGGGTCCCGTGCCGAGCCAGCCTGCTTGTTGCTGTTGCTGCTGTGTCCGGTTTGTTGTCCATCTTCTTCTTCCTCTTCTTCCTCTTCCTCCTCTTCTTCTTCTTCTTCTTCTTCTTCTTCTTCTTCTTCTTCTTCTTCTTCTTCTTCTTCTTCTTCCTCTTCCTCCTCTTCTTCTTCATCTTCTTCTTCTTTTGTCTTCTTCTTCCTCTTCTTCCTCCTCCTCCTCCTCCTCTTCTTCTTCTTCTTCCTCTTCTTCTTCTTCTTCCGTGCGTGTATATGTATCAACGTTGAACTTCTCTCGCACCGTACGTGCTAATCGGAGGTGCGGGTGGAAAAGACAACAAACTGAACGGAACAAAACGCAACTGTAAAGAAGTGACTTTTACAATCTAGATACTTAAAACGAAACATAGCTCCAGTGGCTTCCTAATTTCTCCCAGTGGCTCACCTGGGTAAGCCAGCGTAACGATAAAAACACACACACACTCACTCACGCATCATTCTAAAACAACAAAACAAATATTTCGAGAGGGCTTTCCCATCCTCTACCATCCAAACCGACTCCAACGCGCGTGCCGGACGCGGCCACCGCACCTCGGCGGTGGCCGCGTGTGGTGACGCGCGGGCCGAGGCCATGCGCGTGCGCCGTTTGGTTATCGATCGGCTTCGAGGGCCCACGCCGTTCAATAGACGGCCCCCGCAGGCCCCATTACGGAGCCCCCGGTATCGATGATCCGGAAGAGCCCCGGGTGACGAGGTCAGCACCGCCGTGCCCAGCCCGCGGCCCGGTGCTGCCTCTCGCGTCCCAGCGGCACCCCGGAGGCCCCTCCTGCCGAGCTGCCACCGCCCCCATCCCCGCCACCGCCACCACCACCGCCGCCACCGCCACGAGACTCTCACCGAGACTCAATCGGCGCACCTGGCACAGCCACTTGATGGGGAGAGACGAAGGGGGGGGGGGGCGATTCTCGCATTGGCCGGGTGCCAGCGCTTGCTTCCATCCACCCCCTCCACGAGGGGGACCCTCGGGGCGGGGGGGGGGGGCGAGGCGGGGAGGAGGGGGGGCAGCCCGCCGGCCTTCAGCTCGGCTTCGCGACGTCGTCCGGTCGAGCGGCAGCGCCGATCGGTGACGAGTTTAGCCACCACCGCCGCCGTCGCAAGGGGCAGCGATTTGACCCCGCGGCCGTCTGATGCCCGCTTCAGAGCACGTGACATTTCGCCAGCGAGAGTCACGGCTCGCTGCCTTCGTGACGCCCGAGTACTCCCCACTAACCCCTCCCCCACCGCCCCTCCATCCATCAGTCCAAGCCCCCCACTCCCCCCCTGTCCCCACCACCCACAGCTCCCCCCCACCCACCCACCCACCCCCCTCCTCCATCACTTTCCTAATCAGCGGCACGACTCGGAGTGACAGCCGCGGAACACGGAGACGAGGAGACACGTCATCGCGTGTCTCCGCTGGCGGCCGCCGAGGGATTTAACCCCTCGCCTACACCGCGCCCCTACACAGCGCACCTACTCCACTCACCGCTCACCTCCCCTGCTCACCTCTCACCGGCACCGCTCACCGTTCACCACTCACCGCTCAACGGCACCGCTCACCTTCACCGCTCACCGGCACCGCTCACCTCTCACCGCTCACCTCTCACATGCACCGCTCACCTGCACCGCTCACTGGCACCGCTCACCTCTCACCGCTCATCTCTCACCGGCACCTCTCACCGGCACTGCTTACCTGCACCGCTCACCGCTCACCTGCACCCCTCACATGCTCCGCTCACCTGCACCGCTCACCTGCACCGCTCCCATGCACCGCTCACTGCTCACCTTGCGGCGCTGACCGCTCACTGCCCTCGCCTCACCTCTTGCTGTTGCCTCGCACCTCGCCTGGCATGCCAGCGGTCCGGCGCTTAGGAGTGGTGGCGTGGCTCTTGGGGGGCTCCTATGCAGGAGGTCGTGGGTTCGATCCCGACCCTGACGCCTGCTGCTGTATATTTGTAGGTCGCGGTGTCTCTCTCTCTCTCGCTCTCTCATCATCATCACGGTGGCTGGGAGATGTCAACTACCTCACGGAGAGAGTCAACCTCAGTCGGGATTCGAACCCGGGAGGCCCTTCTCGCTCTGGGGCACGAGTGTAGCCACTGCGCCTTGTTGGCATGGAGATGTCTACTACCTCGCCCGGTGTGCAGGAGGGCGTGGGTTCGATCCCGATCCAGATGACTGCTGCTGCTGTATATTTGCAGTTTGCGTGTTTCTCTCTCTAATCGTCATCATCACGGTGGCATGGAGATGTTAACTACCTCGCCGGTGTGCAGGAGGGCGTGGGTTCGATCCCGATCCAGACGACTGCTGCTGTATATTTGGAGTTTGCCTGTCTCTCTATCTCTCTCTCTAATCGTCATCATCACGGTGGCTAGGAGTTGTCAACTACCTCGCCTGCTGTGCAGGAGGTCGTGGGTTCGATCCCGACCCTGGCGCCTGCTGCTGTCTATTTTGAGGTCGCTGTGTCTCTCTCTCTCTCTCTCATCATCATCACGGTGGCTGGGAGCTGTCAACTACCTCGCCTGCTGTGCAGGAGGTCGTGGGTTCGATCCCGACCCTGACGCCTGCTGCTGTATATTTTGGGGTCGCGGTCTCTCTCTCTCTCATCATCATCACGGTGGCTGGGATATGTTAACTACCTCGCCTGCTGTGCAGGAGGTCGTGGGTTCGATCCCGACCCTGAAGCCTGCTGCTGTCTATTTGAAGGTCGCGGTGTCTCTCTCTCGCTCAACACGTGGTCGCGTGGATGTTCATCTCCGGGACCTCCGGTTTTCCCCTCCACATTGAGAATGAACATCACGCGTTTAGATTATTCGGAGTATTTTGCTGCGATAGATTTCCGTGCGATGAAAAGCCACTACCGTTGAGCTCTCATGTGTGATAGCCGGGTCGATTCTGAAAAATAAATTAAGAGCTCAGTGGGCTTAACATGCTAAGATAAAAAAAATAGTTTAGTTTCATTAGTATATATATTTTAAGTGATTTGTTTACCTTACTTATACTTCTAGATTTGAAGCTTTCGTGACTGCAAGGATTCATACTCTTTGTTTTTTTCGGTAAAGTTACGTAGGTAAAATAAAATAAACAACTAAATTAAACCACGACGTTTCGGAAGCAAGACAAGCTTCCGAAACGTCGTGATTTAATTTAGTTGTTTTCATTTATTTTATTTTACCTACGTGACTTTACTTATACTTTCCACTCCTATCGTGTTGCTTGTTGTTGTAGCGTTTTTGACCCTGTGTCCCTACTGGGACATCTGGAAAACAAGAGCTTTACAGCTCATCGGATTCCTCATCCTCCCCCTTCCCCCCTCCCCCCAGTACCCTCGTCCAACCCCCTCCTCCTTCTCCCTCTTCCCTCCC